TTTCCTTTTTATTGGTACCAGGGATCGAACTCAGGACTGCCTGCTTGCAAGGCAAGTGCTTATGCCGCTGACTAAATCCCCAGCCCTACTTGCACAGATTTTATAAACAACCTGGGCAGGCCAGCAGGAGCTTTGGTGAGCCCTCTCCCCAGCTGGAGGACCTGACCTGGGCCTGTGAGAGCCAGTAAGGCCTGCCCCACTCAGAAGAACCCAGGTGGGCCTGCAAGACCCCAGTGACACAGTGGGGCCCTGGCTGTGATGCACAGCATGAAAAAGGGGTCTGATGGCTGGAAAAAGTCAACAAAGAAAAATCCAGGTCCTGGCAGATTCACAGTTGAATTCTTTCCTTAGACCTGGTTAGGTGATTCCTTATCGTAGAACTGAAACACCTATGAAGCCAAGATCCACAGGGTCTAGATCAGGTCCAAGTAAGCACAGTTCAACAAGCAGAACAACAAATTACTCCTGTTCTCCAAACTTTCTCATCAACCCAAACAAAAACTGTAGATATTCAACAGCAACTCCCTGCTCCCACTTGCCAAGCTCCTGGAAGCCACCATTGTTTTTTTGTCTCAGTTAATTTGATTATTCTAGGTGCCTCATGTAAGAGGAACTATACCATATTTGTCTTTTGTAACTTTTGTTTCACCTGGCAATGTCTTCAAGGTCTATTAGCGTTGTAACATGTGTCAGAATTTCCTTCCTTTTTAAGGAAGGAATAATAGTCCATTGTCTACATGTGGGAAAGGCTTTTTAAACATCAAATATCCTCGCTTTGATTCTCAACTACTACTATTCTCAACTCGCTATGACTCAACAACTTTTCTTTGCCAACATTAACAAAATCATGGAACATTTCCTTCATGTTTCAGGTCAGAAAACAGTATCAAAAATGGTTTACAGATATTACAAATAATATATGCTTTCCAGCAGGTCTGGCCCTAGCTTAAGACTCACTGAGGTATGAGAATCTGTGACTCTGTCTCACCACCACCATATTCAATATCCCCAACTTCTCCTTATCCTACCAGCTCCCTTTTCAGGAGGGGATAGAGAATTCTGTTAATTAAGATTTACACTGTTGTGACAGAATACTCAAGAAAATCATTTCAGGAGGAGGCAGCTTATTTTGACCCATGATTCAGAGTTCTGGGATAAGACCACTTGGCTGTTGCATTGGCTTGTGATGAGTCAGAGTACCACGCCGGAGTGCACAGCAGCGTGAAGCTGCACACCCACCTCCCGGTAGCTGGGAAGCCAAGACAGTTGGTTTCGATTTTTTGAGACAGGGTCTCACTATATAGTCCAGCCTGGTCTCAAATTCACAGTGATCCTCCTGACTCAGTCTCCCAAGTGCTGGGGCTACAGGCACGCACATGCACCACCACATTTAGCTGTTTCTCACATCCATAAACTCTACATTGTTCTTTGGAGGAGCTGAGATTAAGGGCCAAAGACCAAGTTAAGAAACCTAAGTTTAACCAAGGTCCTCTTGCAGGGCTGTAATCCCAGAACTTGGGAAGTAGGAGGATCACAAATTTGAGTGAAAGGAAGAAAAGGAGGAGGACAGAAGGATGAGGGGAGAGGAGAGGGAAATAAAAGGGGCAAAAGGAGGAAGAAACAGAAGAAAAATCAAACCTAGTATTATTGTCCTCATTGGTTTCAGAATCAGAAGCCTGTTTCTGCCCTCCCAAGCTTCCAACACACTACCAAACTAGTTTGATGTGAACTGTAAATAAACTTGTATGTACTCCTTATTGTCTTCTAGATACCAGCCAATTGAAAAGGATGATAAGGGCTGGGAATTTAGCTCAGCGGCATAAGCGCCTGCCTTGCAAGCAGGCTGTCGTGAGTTTGATCCCTGGTACCGATAAAAAATGAAAAAGACCAAAAAAAAAAAAAAAAAAAAAAAAAAAAAAGAAAAAAGAAAAGGATGATAAAAATCTCTACAAAAGAAGCCTGGCATGGTTGTGTATGCCTGTAATTCCAGAACTTGCGAGGCTGAGGCAGGACAATTGCTGCAAGTTTAAGGCCAGGCTGAACTACATGGTGAGTTTAAACCCACTTGGAACTACGTAACAAGACTGTCTCAAAAAACAAAAAATAAAACACTCCCCCTCTTTATACACACACACAAAACCAAAAGCATCAAAAACACCTTTTGGAGCCTAGACTGATCCTTAAGGTTAAACCATACATTTTGACACCCTGGTTTAATATTTCTGGATACTTGCACTAGGAATTATCTAGTGGTAGCTGGGTCAGAGAGAAGTGGATTTGAGATCTGCTCCAGAAGCTCACTAGGTGGAGATTGAACCCAGGGGCTTCATGCTGAGATTTTTGTTTGAGACAGGGTTCACTAAATCACTAAATTTCCTAGGCTGGTCTTTAACTTGCAATTCTTCTGCCTGAGTGCTGAGATTATAAATGTATGCCATTAGGCCAAGAGATTAGCTCAGCAGCACAAGCACCTGCCTGGAAAGCATGAGGTTGTGAATTTGATCCCTGGTTAAAAAAAAAAAAAAAAGTGTGTCACTGTGCCCAACAATTCAGTGATTACCAAAGAGTGCAGCAAGAAGTGTATGTGCTGAAGCCTGAGGTGGGAGGGTCTGTTAGTCCTGAGTTTAGAGACTATCTCAAAAAAAAGTTTAAAAGTTACTCTCAGGGAAACAGAATATTAAAGCGACTTAAATGGCTAGGAATTTACTTCTGTACCAAAGCTTTCTTCAAAAGGACCCAAATTTTTTGAGGGGAGGAGACAGCAGACTATTTGGAATGAAGTGTGAGTATGTAGTCTGAGAGCAAACAAGGAGGGTCTTCATGGCCCAGCCAGGAGAAGGGACTGCTGGGAGGGGGGATACCAGAAAGCCCTTCTGTGACACTTATTTGGCTGGAAAATGTGGCTAGAAAATCGGAGCAAAGTCAAGATTCTATACAAGATGGCCAGACCAGCCCACCCAACTTGCCCTAGTCACCTTTCTCTGGGCCTATCCAGGGAGCACGAGTCCCAAGTAATTACCAAAATGCAGACTCCCATTTCTGGTGCAATCTGCATTTCCCAGGGCTGGGACTTAGCTTAGCAGCATAAGCACCTGTCAGGCAAGCACAAGGTCGTGAGTTTGATCCCTGGTACCAAAAAACCCCCCAAAAAACAAAAACAAAACCAAACAAAATCAATCTGCATTATCCAAAACAATGGAATATTGTGCAAGCTCCATTACTCCTTAGAATATGGTTGGTATGTTACACATTAGGGACTACAAATTCAGTGACTAGTTTGGTGTATTTCCCTATGGGACGAAAGGAAGGATTGAGATTGTTTACACCACCCATCTGGGATTTCCCATTGATTCTTCCAAGCATAAGATCATATACACCTTCTTAAATCATCTGTGGGTTGTCTGCAGCCATACCACCCTGAATGCGCCCGATCTCGTCTGATCTCGGAAGCTAAGCAGGGACGGGGCTGGTTAGTACTTGGATGGGAGACCGCCTGGGAATACCGAGTGCTGTAGGCTTTAAAAAAAAAAAAAAAAAAAATTATCTGTGGGTTACACTCAAGGACAAGATGCTTCTAAGCATAAGATCACCTACACCTTTTTAAATCATCACAGGATTATACTGGGGTCCAGACACTTCAAACATAAGGTTTTCTACACTCTCTGGAGTCAGTCTCTGGATTAACTGTAGTACTTTGCTAGCCTCACCTATCACTGTACAGACCAAATAAATAGTGGCTGTTTGGGGAGTGGAGAAAGTGGGATCCAGGACACTGACTTCCCAACCATTGTGGGAATAAGGTATTTCTCTTTTTCATTTTTCTTGTGACATTCTTGAGACAACTGGGACTCTTGGCCAGGTTCCGGATAGTTCCATTCCCTGTCCAAATATAACTTCTCTAGGAAGCCCTTTCAAACTGCTTCAGTTTGTTCGCTCTTCTTCTGGCCCCCCAGCCTGTGATTACAGGGGTGCTCATGTGAGTTATGGTCTAAAACTACCAGCCTCTAAGGCAGGTGCAAAATGGAACAGTGGCCAGCTTGCCCTGGAAAAGAACCACTGAGATGCGGCAGAACGGGCACAGGCTCAGCGGTCTGGGCTCAGAGATGGCTATGTGCACCAGCAGTTGGCCACTCTTGCAGCTATAGCCCCAAACAGGCCCTGGGAACGTTACTTAGCATGATCTCTATGTCCACCCTTTACCAAGAGCAGGGGGCTCCAGCGATAAAAATGGCATCCTCCTTCCAGGGCACTGTGTAGCCACTTTCACAGTCATTTTGAGATGCCACTCACTGATGGAGAAAGGACCTGTTAACTAACCCTAACTTATCTGCCTGTTTTTTTTTTTTTTTTGTCTTTTTTATCTGTACTGGGGATCGAACTCACGACTGCCTGCTTGCAAGGCAGGCACTTATGCTGCTGAGCTAAATCCCCAGCCCCTTACTAACCCTAACTTATGTAAAAGGAGCTGCTACCTTGCTCAAATTGATAGTCAGAAAGCTAGTGTGGAGGGCACCCCTGTAATCCCAGCACCTACGAGTCTGCAGCTAGAGGAGTTGGCTACACAGTGAACTGAAGGCTACCTGGATTACAGGGCAAGACCCTGGCTCCAAAGAACAGCAACAAGGCCTGGGGGTTTAGCTCAGCAACGTGAGTGCCTGGCTGGCAAGCCCAAAGTCATGAGTTCAATCCCTGGTACAAAAAAACCCCAAACCAACCAACCAACAAAAAACTAAGCAGAGCAAGGCCAACCACCTGCCCACCCCATGCTCAGTGTTTTCTTTCAGGCACAGTGCTTCCCGGGAACACAGTCATGCTGAAGTGACTCCCACAGTTACTGATGGTAGGCCAGAGCTGGGGATTAGGAGAAAGAGGCCTAAGCACCTGTAGCCCTCCCTAATCCTAGGGAACTAGCTACTGAGGTTCTCTTGGCCCAAGTAATCCCAGCTCACCTTCCAACCATTTCCCGGGCAGCCTCTAGACTACACAGACTCAAACCACTCTGCATTGGAGTAATATTTATTTTTTCTTGGCAAAAATTCAATTGCTACATTCTTAAAAACAGAAAATCTCAAATGATCAAACGCATTACCCATCACAGAAGAGGGTCTGGCAACAGTACAAAACATCCTACTTAAGATTTTTTTTTAAATATACAAGTCAGTTTAAAATGATAGAAGTTCTGTGAGAACTAAGAAATCTACAGCCTGTAGTTTAATAATAGAAAACAAATTAAGACAAAAATTTCCAGCATCCAGTATTTTGCTTAATTCCTTGTGTATAGCACCTATTTCTCTAGGTTAGACGGTAAGAATTTCAGAATCAGTGGTTTACGTTGTGCACCACCAAGGCAGGAAAGACTGCTTATCCCTCCCCCACCCAACAGTTCTCACTGTTCTGAAGACAGGACTCTTCTCTTTCCAACCTCCCCTGGAGGCTCAGAGATGGCTGTGTGCACCTGGAGGAGAGGGGCAGGATAACTGTGAGAGCAACTAAGACACTGGGGTACAGGAACAAATACGACTTTTCTATTCCCCAGGATTGGACATTGCCAGAGAAGCAGTGTATTTGCTTAGGGGAGGATTCTGTGGGTAGGAACACAGTTGTCTTCAGTATGATGAATAAAAAGCAGGGAACAACTGGACATCACAGATGGTTACCTGCAAGTTTAAAAGACTAAATGGTTCGAGGGAGGTACAGACATGTAACTAATTGTATCTGTGGTACTACACGCACAATGATGCTGGCTACAGGCCACCTTCTCACCACACTGGGGCTGAGCCACGGGAGTAGGAAAGGTGACTCCAGTCCTAAGTGCCACTGCATTGAGGAAACAAATCCTCCAAACATGAGGCATTCACTGCACACAGATGACACCCCCCCTTAGACCAAACCCAATTTAGAAGACAGCAGCAAAACCCAATGGGAAGACTGGAAGAATGTAGACAAGTTTCTCCTAAAAGCCAAGAGGCCTACATATGGGAATCTTAACAGACTTGAGACCCCATCCTTGGCCTCTGAAATGCCAGACTAGATCTTATTTGAGGGTAGGGAGAAGGAGACTGGGATGCAATTCTCTTTGCCAAATCTTTCTACAGCCTCAGGAGCTGCATTAATGTTTTAGGGAAATGGCCACTAAGCAGATGGGAGGCTGCCAGGCAGAAGTGACATACACACCTAAGTGTACTCACCCGGGGGACAGGTAGGTGCGAAGGAAGGTAGCATAGGTCACTTCAGAGTCCTGGCACGGAAACCTCAAACTCAAAGGGTATTCCCAGTAGTGATTTTTTTTTCTGGCTTTACTTTCTACTATCATGTTGTTAGACTTTAGAAAACAAGATATAGACCAGTCCCAAAGCTGGACTCTGAATAAAGTTGCTTCTTTTATAAATATTTTAATTACAAGTACTCCTCACTCCAGGTAATTTCAGTGACACAGAACCTATAGGCACACAAGTTCACACGCACACGCGCGCGCGCGCACACACACAGCTCCCAGACTTTCACAGAAAGTCTGATAGCTTCCATTAATTATAAAGGAGGCCCCACCTCTTGAGAGTGAAGTAAGGTGAGAATGACTATGTCATTTCAACTGAATGAAGCCAAAGAGGGAAGAGGATGCATCACTTAAAAAATACAAACAAGATTTGCAACAACATTTGGTTGAGAAGTTAGAAAGGAAAAAAAAACACTAATAAAACACTGAGTACCCAGATGGGTGGAGGAGGAGGAGGAGGAGGAGATGAAGAAGAAGAAGAAGAAGAAGAAGAAGAAGAAGAAGAAGAAGAAGAAGAAGAAGAAAACAAACAATGAAAACACCCTCTGGATGTCTGTACACAGCATCTTCCTATTGAGTACCTAAACCACTGGCAAACTTGGTGTTCCCACTAAAACAGAAAAACCTCACGCAGCTGGGGGGAGGGGCGGGGGGGGGGGGAGAAATCAGAAGAACAAGGAAACCGAGGGCGGATGTTAGTGTAAATCTGCATTTTGGGAGAAAGTTAGTTGTCATTAACTCCAGAGCCCAGCGTAGTTCCCATGGAGCCCTGAAGGGAGGGGACCTCCTGCCACAAAGAGTTTCGTTCCTGACGAGTCGTAGCAGTGGGTGTAAACAGCGTTGGGGAAGAAATCAATGTCTGAAAAGTAGTTCCTCCATGTTTCATCATGATTCTGTGGGAAGACAAAGAAAGCGTTAGACGACCTCTAAGCTGTGGGGCAGGAACATGGACAGGAAGGAACAGGAATGTTTTCTGGTCTCCTTAGGAGAGTCCTATACCTACACCCTGATGAAAGGAGATTGGTTCTCAAATCAACAGGGCCTCACCTTCCCAACTAATCATGAGAGAGGAACTAAATGTTAGACAGGAGCTGAACAGGTTGAAGAAATGCTACACAGCCGGGGACTTAGCTCAATGGCTCAACCGCTTGCCTGGTAAGCACAAGGTTGTGAGTTTGATCCCCAGTGTCACACACACACACACAGCTACACAAAGTACAAGTCTTTTTTTTTTTTTTTTTTTTTTAATCGGTACCAGGGATCGAAGTCACGACTACAGGCTGGGGATTTAGCTCAGTGGCATAAGCACCTGCCTTGCAAGCAGGCAGTCGTGAGTTCGATTCCTGGCACTAGTAAAAAGAAAAAAAAAAAAAATCAGAAACGAAGTCATGACTGCCTGCTTGCAAAGCAGGTGCTTATGCCGCTGAGCTAAATCCCCAGCCCCAAATGCAGGTCTTCTTCAAACAGCTGGAACCAAATGATATTATTCGTTGGCATCTAGGGCAGGAAATTCCTTGCACCCTTCTTATTATAGTACCACTTTTGCGGGGGGAAGAGGAGGGATCCAGTATATTTTTTTGGGGCCTCTTCCCACTGGCAATATGCAGAAGACACAAAAACAAAATTAGGTGAAAGTGTCTTTTGTGGCACCATGGAGTGCCTCTTACTAGTAAAATACTGAGGGTTGCACATCAAGGGGATGTTAGAGGACATCTTTCTGCTACTGCCCAGCAACTATCTCAATAGAGAGCTTACTCACCAGCCAACCTTTGCCAGTGGTTAGTTTCAGATTTTCCCCTGCTAGCCTGGGCTTGGACCCATAACAAGCTGAGAGTCTTTCTTCCAGAAACCTCTGAGCTCGGATGTCATAGAAGAGCAGGGAGCCCTGCCCTGTGCCCACAGTGATGATGTGCTCATAGAAGCTCACGGATCGGATTCCTAAAAAAGGAAAATGAAGGGCAATGAGGGGAGAGAGTACATGCTTGGACATCTGCTAAACTGAATTTCTCCAACACTGAGCTTGCATCACACACCAGCTATCAAACAGCGCTACTCCACTGGCTAAGCACAGCTCATATTCCGTAACGGAACCCTCTGATGAGCCTCCACCAACCTAGTTGCCTAACAAAGACAAGGATGCTTCTGGCCGAACAGCGTGTGTGTCCAGAACTTCCTTGTGTCCGGAGTCACTGTGGACCTATCTGCCCTAACTGTAGGCTCTTGTCCATTCCAAGCTACCAATCTATTCTGCAACTCAGGATGACCTGGGTATTTGCAAATAAGTACATCAATAAAGACTCCCCCGTATTCGACCTAAAAGCACTACCATGGCACTGTCAGTCTTTATCTGGTATTAAAGTATCCTTTATGATGATGGCAAAAAAGCCTAGCACTTAAGCACCTCACAAATATTTTCACTCAATGGGTGAACTTAAGACATGTTACAAAAAAAAAAAGAAAAAAAAAAAAAAGCTGGGCATGGTGGCGCACACCTATAATCTCAGGACTCGGGAGGCTGAGGCAGGTGGATTGTTGCAAGTTCGAGACCAGCCTGGGCTATAAAGTGAGCTCAAGGCCAGCTTGAACTGTAGTGAGACCCTGTCTCAAAAAGACAAAACAAGCAAATAAAAGTTACTAGGAAAATACACCTGTTGCACTAATTAAATGAATAGCTCTTGGCACATACAAGGAGCTTGAGAATATTTGTAGAACCAGTATTCCCTCAGTAGGTTTAAAGCTAACATTAACAATGACTAAAATCTCTTTTCTTTTTTTTGGTACTAGGAATCAAAATCAGGACCTTGTGCCCAAAATTTCTTAAAACTTTTCATTACATACATCATTCTAGCCATGCTTATTTATTCTTTTCTCTACTACTTTCACTATTACTCATCATTCTCTGTTCTAAAATGTATCCTAATATAATTTAAAATAAAAATAAAACTGAGGCAGGAGGAATGCTGCAAATTTGGAGTCAGCATGGGCTACAAAGTGAGCATGGCTACAAGGTCAGCCTGAACAACACAGTTAAACCCTCTAAAAAGACAAAAAAAGTGTAAAATAAAAGCTGGGTATGGTGGCCCAAGCTATAAATCCCAGCATTTGGGAGGTTGAGACAGGAGGATATGAGTTCGAGATCAGCCTGGATTACATAGTTCAAGGCCAGTCTGAACTACACAGTGAGACCCTATCTGAAAAAATAAATATGCAAGCATGGTGACACATGTTTGTAACCCCAATTACTTGGGAAGCTGAGGCAAGAGGATTCCAAGTTTGAGTCCAGAGTGAGTCTCAAAAGGAAAAATAAAGCCAAAGAACGGGGGGATTTAGTTCACTGCTGCTGTTAAATTCCCAGTACTATACCAAAAAAAAAAAAAAAAAAAAAAAAAAAAAGGAAAGGGGGCAAAAAAGTGAGATTAGAAGAAAATACTTCCTTAAACTGGATGAGCTAGAGTTTCATTCCTGGCTGTGCCTCATCAAACTGGTAACACTTGTAACTCTGTTACTCAGCAGGCTCAGGCAGGGAGATCTATACACTTACATCTTTGTAATTATTTTGAGGTAAGGTCCTGCTAAACTCTTCAGGCTGGCCTGGAGCTTGCACTCTCCTGTTTGCTTCCCAGGTTTTTCTACATTTTTCTTGTCTTTCTGAGATCCAGGCTGGTCTTCAGCTCACTTTCTAGCCCAGGTTGGTCTTGAACTTGTGATGATCCTCCTGCCTCAGCATTTTGGGGTTTGTGGGTTGAGACAGTGTCTTCCTAAACAGTTCAAATTGGCCTTCAATTCACTATGTAGCCTAGGCTGGACTCAAACTCATGGTGATCCTTCTGTCTTAGCTTCCCAGGTGTTGTGATTGATTACAGATGGTATAAGATCAGCTAAGATGCTGCCTAGGGTCACTTGATCTTGGGGGTAAGTGATCTCCTTAGTATTGAGGACTAATACTATCTTTTCCTACATGTTTCTCAAGGGATTCTCCGTAGGATGAAATGAGATGTCAGAAAAAAGTATTTTGTGGTTTTGTTGTTTTTGAGACAGGGTCTCACTATGTAGTTCAGGTTGGCCTAGGAACTCAACAGTAATCCTTCGGCCTCAGCCTTTCAAGTGTTGGCCCAAGCTATAAATCCTAGCATTTGGGAGGCTGAGATAGGAGGATATGAGGTCAGCCTGGACTACACAGATTAAGGGCAGTCTGAGCTACATAGTGAGACTCTATTGAATACCTGACTTAGAAAAAGGTTATTTTGAAACCTTCAGATGTACTATAGGGGTCAGGGATTTAGCTCAGTGGCATAAGCACCTGCCTGGCAAACACAAGGTCATGAGTCCAATCCCGCTTAACGGATGTTTATAGTTCAGTGGTCAGAAGAACTAAATTCAGTCGACTTTTTCTTCAGTTTTATTGAAGTACAATTGTCATATAACACACTGCACATATTTAAGTATACAATGTGAAGCTAGATATTGAGGTGCACACCTATTACCCTAGCACTCTGAGAGGCTGAGACAGTAGGAGCCCTAGCTGGAGTTAGCCTACACAATTTAGTGGGATTGTCTTGAAAAATAAAAAGGAGTGACAATATAGCTTAATGTGAAGGACCTGAGCTAAAATCACAGTACTGTAAAAGAAAAAACAAAAATTCGAGGGTTGTTTTCAGTGCTGGGACTTGAAGTAGGTCCTTCTGTGTGCTAGAAAAGTGCTCTACCCCGAGCCACACCTCTAGCCTCAATCTGAGGGTATAAGATGCATAATAATGAAAATATCACCCCAATAGGACTCATGTCCTCTTGTAAATTCCTTAAATCCATCATGCCATTCCTTCATGTAAACAGAATTTTAATTCAGGCAGGACCCTAGCAAAAAATTAGCACAGGACAGAAAGTACAACTCTCTGAAAAAAGACACAGAAACAATGTCTTGACTGGTGGTTTTCAGTGAAAGCTCTGGTGGTATCCGAAACATCATATACAGGTATTTAGGCTCCTCTCCAAGTTAACAAATATTTCCACGTTACATATCCATATTATACTTGTTTAGACACCAAAGGTCAAGAAACTGAATGTCAAGATCCATTTACAGTGCATCTGCCAGCCCACAAACGACACACCAGGACTTACCACTGCCTCGTTCCCTGGAGCACACAGACTTGACATTGTTTGACGGCTGCCGTGGATCCAGGAAGGAGACATGAGCTTGGGAGCCCACTGCGTACACTGACCATTCACTACCATAGGCCAGACACACGTTCTCCCGCCAATATGGCAGTTTGGTGGAAAGAAGCTGAAAGAGTGAGGAGAGTTGTAGCCATGGCATCACCAGAGTGCAAGAGTGCACGAAGCAGGTGTTTTTTGCTTGGACTCCCTCCTCTATGAATTTCCCTCACATGTAGCCACACAAGGTCAGAGCAAATGACAGACCTGATTAAAGAAATAACCTGCTAGGTGCGGAGGCACGTGCTTGTGATCCCCACACTCTAGGAGGCTGAGGCAGGAGGACTGAGGGCAAGCAAAGCTTGGGCAACTCAGTGAGTTAGCAATTCTGTCTCAGAATAAAAAGGATGTGACTTAGTTTAGAGGCCCTGGGTTCAATCCCCACTAGAGCTAAATAAATATATTAACTAATTTTTTTTTTCTTGTCTTTTTGAGACAGGGTCTCTATGCAGTTCAGGATGACCTTGAGCTTACTTTGTAGCCCAGGCTGGTCTCAAACTTGCAACGATCCTCCTGCCTCAGCCCCCCGAGTGCTGGGATTACAGGCGTGAGCCACCACGCCCAGCTTATTAACTAATTTTTTAAAAAGGAACTTCTGGTTAGGGAAAAAAGTAAATTTGGAATTAAATAATGAGGAAAGCCAGGAGGTACAGACCTATGGGTTGTTTCCAGGAATAACCACAGGACACTAAAGCCAAAGTTCCACCCTATTCTGTCTTCAGGAAGAGCCAATGCCCTTCTCACTGTTCTCCAGACAAAGATATGGGGCTGAGTGGTAGCTACTGTAGTCCACCCCCAGGTCGAATGGCAGCTCCGTATAATGAAAAGAACACTCGTAGGCCTGGGTTACCCAGGTAACCTCAGTCAGCCTTCATCCCGGATCCCTGTCACTCAGCAAACTGTTGGTGGATGCCTACTGCACAGGCAACACCACGCTGTATGACAGAAAAACAACCAGCGTTGCCCCAGGCCTGCTGCCTCTTGTGAGAATCTTTGGCCCTGTCTTTTCTATCGAAGGATATGAACAGGAGTGCTTCCAACTTCAAACTCTGCTCCACCCCATGCAGTCCCTCTCCAATACATTGAAGTTAGAACACACTGGAAACACAGCTACAGACCAAGACAGCTTACCCCTAGGCAAGGACTTTCTGTTCCCCCCAAGCTCTCTCCCTTTGCACTCCGCAACCCTTCAGATCCTCCCCAAGCACAGCTTAAACTAGTCCACTGCGATAGACTGTGAGTCTGTGAACTTGGCCAGTGAGTTTAAAGGATAGTTGCTTCCCACGAGAAAAGGCTTAAACAGCCTTCATTCCCCACCTGTTCGGTGCATCTGCTGCCATATCTGCATACACTTGCGCCTTCTGCAGAAGCAAGCTTTAAACTCTACCTTGTCTAGTTCTTTTGCTTGTTATCTGACAACATTCTTGTTTTTTTTTTTTTTTTTTTGGTCTTTTTCCTTTTTATCGGTACCAGGGATTGAACTCAGGACTGCCTGCTTGCAAGGCAGGCGCTTATGCCGCTGAGCTAAATCCCCAGCCCCTGTGACAGCATTCTTTTTGGCACAAATAATTTGAGTCTGGGGCTCATTTCTAAAATTTTTTTTTGAGATGAGGTCTTGCTGTAATTCAGGCTGGCTTTGAACTCTCTTATGTAGCCTCGGCTGGCCTCAAACTCACAGCAATCTTCCTGCTTCAGCCTCCCAAATAGTAGGGTTAGGGTTACAGGAGTGCACCATAGTGTCTGGCTCTACCTTTTTTCTCTTTTTCTTTTTCCTTCTTTTCTTTTTTTTTTCTGAGTTAAGGTCTCATACCACTAATCCAGGCTGGCCTTGAATTCACTATGCAACCCAGGCCAGTTTTCTGGCACTCTTGCCTCAGACTCCTGCTATTGACACAGGAATCAGGGCACAGCTTAGACCAGCTGGGCAGAAAGGTGTGATGGGACCCCAGAACCTACCCAGCACTGCTTCTGAGGACCCCATATATAGAACTTCTCGCCACGTTCCTGTAACGTGTGGAAAGGAGAAAAGGCCCGGGTGCTATGAAGTTCACGGCTTCCCTCATGGTGGCCTCCCTGTGCTCTCAGGATGTATTTTTTTCCTTTTTTTATTTGGCTCAAGTTCATTCTGCAGAGCCTGTTTCTCCTTTATCCTTCATTTTTATTCTTTCAAAGAAAATGTCACAACTTTTGTTTGTCTTGTTCAATTCACTGTTTCAGACAAGAACCTGGAAACCAAGATGGGAGCACCCCAAACTAGTTAACAATGTCATTACAGCGCTCCCTTGGAGAGGAGGCTTGACAAGTAGCAAGTGGGCCTCTGAGGGGAGATAAGGGTAAGTGACTCATATGCAGGCTTAACTCTAAAAAAAGCTACTTGTAACTTTTGTAAATTAAATCAATTATCTATCTCATGTGATTATTTCAGACATGGCTTATCTCCAGTCCCTAGTGGTTCCTAACACTTAAATTTTCCTGCTTAACAATATAACAAGCAGTCAATAATCTATGAACAAACATTTAAAAACATTTTGGGTTAGATGTTAAGGCAGCCTCTCAGAAAAACTTCTTCCCATCTTTTTTTTTTGGTGTGGTACAAGGGATTGAATTCAGGGCCTATATAGCCATCTCCACTCCCTCTATTTTTATGATTTTTGATACAGGGTTTTGCTATATAGTTAAGGCTGATCTTAAACTATGTAGCCCAGGCCAGACTTGAAGTTATGGTGATCCTCTTACCTCAGCCTCCTGAGTGCTGGAATTATAGGCGTGTGCCACCATATCCAGCTTGAAGCATTTTCTTTTGTGTGTTTTTTTGAGACAGAGTTTCACTATGCAGTTCAGGCTGGCCTTAAGCTCACTTTGTGGCTCAAGCTGGTTTTAAACTTGGAACTATCCTTCTGCCTCAGCCTCCTGAGTTCACTAACCATTTTATTTCATTTTTATGTTATTTATTTTATTATTATTATTTATTTTCAAGACAGGGTATCGCTATGCAGTTCAGGGTGGCCTTGAACTTACTTTGTAGCCCTGGCAATTCTCGACCTTGTTACAATACTCTTGCCTCAGCCTCCCAAGTGCTGGGATGACAGGCATATGCTACTGCACCTGGTTTATGTTATTTATTATATTTTTTGGTACTGGGAATCAAACTCTCGACCTCGCACTTGCCAGGCAGGTGCTTATACAGCTGAGTTAAATCCCTATGTTATTTATTTTAGTTTGGTTCTGTTATTTATTATTATTATTTTTTGTACTGGGAATCAAACTCAGGACCTTGCGCTTGCCCGGCAGACACTTGTGTCACTGAGTTGTAACCATGGCCCTCATAAACCTTTTACAAAATTTTATTTGGCCAGGGTCGGTGGGTGATGCAGGTCTGTAATCCCAGCAATTGTGACATTTTGCTGTCTTAGCCTCCAGGTGATGAGATTATAGGCATGTGCCACAGTACTTAGCTCTTCTATCTCTTTAAAAGGATTCTCCTTCAAGAGAGGCACGCCAGACTGCATTTCATGTACTATGCCAGCACACTCCTGGACTTCTGGGGCCTGGGTATTTTAGACCACAATGAAAGGCTCAGGAAGAATCATGATTTTGGAATGCTGAAGACCAAACCCAGGGCCTTCTACATGCTAGGCAAGAACTCCACCACTAAGCTGTATGCCAGCCCTTGGTATTCTAGCCCTAAGGTGAACTGTCAGGTTAAAGTACTAAACCATGTTCATCCTACCTTACACAATGTGTTTTCAGCCTTCCAGAGATGAAAGTAGCCATCCAGAGACACTGCTCCCAATTCCTACAAGAGCGATGAAAACAGGTTAGCAATTAAGGTGTAACAGAAAGCAAGGGAAGATCCCGAAGATCAGAGTCCTCTCCTTTATTCCTATATCATGGTGATTTCCACAGGACTGCCCGTAAGTATCAGCCTATGGATCACAGCATACCAAACTGCAAGAAGGAAACCCATGCTCTAGCAATAACTTAGGTACCCGTGTTCAAAAAGTCCTCACTATGCCATCATTCCCAATATCCTGTTGGATTGTTAAAGCAGAGACACTAGTAAGGACCAGGTATCTAAGTCTCAATGTGAGAGCTGTAAGTAAAGGGTCTAATCTAGAAGACAGAAATTTAACCTTCAGTCAGAAATATGGATGGGAGATGGGAGGTTAAGAAAACTACCCTTCAGCTGTGACACGGTTCAGATTTTTACAGAAGCTTTTCTCTTCTTTTAGCTCTGTATTTAAATTTTTTTTTTTTTTTTTTTTTTTTTTGGTCTTTGTGAGACAAGGTCTCATTATGCTGTTCAGGCTGGTCTTGAGCTCACTTTGTAGCTCAGGTTGGTCTTGAACTACCAATGATCCTCCTGCCTCAAGTTCATGAATGCTGGGATTACAGGAGTGTACCACCAGGCCTGGTTCTTAGATCTACATTCTTTTTTAAATTTTTTTATTTTTTGGTATCAGGGATCTAACAATCTCACACTTTCCAGGCAGGCACTTACGCCTCTGAGCTAAATCCCCAACCCCTTAAGAAACGATTTTTTGTTTGTTTTTCCTTAAGGTACTTTATTTTATTTATTGTTTTGGGAGGTACCAGCAATTGAACACAGGATCTTACAGACAGGCACTATGCCACTGAGCTATATCCCTGGCCCTAGATCTACATTTTTGTTTGTTTGTTTTTGTTTGTTTGTTTGTTTGTTTTGGTACCTGGGATCGAACTCATGACTGCCTGCTTGCAAGGCAGGCGCTTATGCCGCTGAGCTAAATCCCCAGCCCCCTAGATCTACATTCTTAACACTCAAAGCACTGGAGTCAGTAGATCTGACACAATGATTAGGTAAGACTATGTGACGGTGTGAAGGGAAGTAGTGAAAAAGAATAGGAGCTGAACTGTGAAGACAAAAGTGATTGCTTTTAGAGTATGAAAAATACTAAAATGGAGCCCCTGCAAAGGCACATGCAATTGAGGTATAGTTAAATCAAGGTGGCCCTAGGGAAACTCTTGAGATGCTGACCATGAAACAGCCCACCTAGAGAAATACTATAGAGCTTACTCAAAGGTGGGTCTCAGTCTCACTTCTTACTAGCATCACTCAGCCTCTAACGGGTGCTCTGCAGACACAGAACCCAGCTCTACATCAGGCACTGATGTGGGGAGGGGAAGGGGAATGCACCTCCCACGACACAAGCTAAGAGAGCAGACTTCACAGATCCCCTTGTGACTTCATACCTTGTTCTTATTGTTGAAGGCCAAAGCCCGGACCTTGCAGTTATCAGGGTTTGTGTCCTCCTTTGGGATGTCCTTTAAGGCCTTGTGAGCGATGTGAGCATATACAGGGACCTGTGATGCACTGTGCCTGGTATCACTCTTGGTCAACACATCATCAGTCACCTCCCAGAGTCCCATAGAACCATCGCGTGAGCCTGTAGGAGCAGAGAGATCATAGATGTCAAATATATTCAAACCTCCATGAAACACTTCCACAAGGACTGTAACTAGGTCTTGGCATCATCCTTATCTGTACTGTATCTTGGCCAGATGACAGAGAAGTAGGCATTTTTACATTTTTTGGGGTGGTGCTGGTGTACAAATGGAGGCTTTACAAATGCCAGGCAGGTGCTGTACCAGTGAGTTACAACCCCAGTTGGCTGGAGTAATTTTAATAGTTATTTAAAATGATTCATCTTTGGATCTAAAGGTCTTGGCAAAAAATAAATAAATAAATAAAATAAAATGATTCATCTAAGGTCTAGGAGTTACAATATAACCTTTCAGCAGTTTAAAATAATTAGTGGGATTTTTTTTTTTAAGAAAAAAACTTTACACAGTATGATAAAGCCCTGTTATTTTCCAGGATTAATATTTAAGTCACCTGGCATACATTCATGTCACTTGTAGTAGGCAAATAGGGTTTGGAATCCTCTGCTCTAGATCAGAATACTTTGTATGTGTGTTGCACTGAACTGAACTTAGGGCTTTTGTACTGAGCTGTATCTCCAGTCTTTATCTTGAGATAGGATCTGGCTAAATTAGAAAGTCCTCTCAGGTGCGACTGACTTGCAAACCTCCTGCCTCAGCTTCCTAAAGTTCTGGGATTACAGGCACGTACAAATAAATCCAACTGTACCTGAGACACATCCCTCCCCCACTGCATCTCATTCCCACTGCCCTCCCACATCTTCTCCCTTGTTTTGTCCTATTCCCTGTTTCATGGTGCTGGGGATCTAACCAGGCCCTCATGGATTTAGCCAAGTACTCTACCTCTGGGCTACATTCCTGGCCCTCACTAAATTACTACATTGCTCGCTCAAGAAAATCCATGGCTTTCTTAAAGTTTTCCCATGGACACAGAGATTACTATCACCTTATTCTGAAAGACTGCTTCAGTCAGGCATGGCGTCTCATTTCTATAACCCCACAGTCTGGAAAGTGGTAGCAGAAGGCTCAGACCTCAAATTCAGTCTGGGCAACTTAGGACCACACCTCCAAAAAAAAAAAAAAAAAAAAAAAAAAGGCTGGGGCTGTAACTGAAGTGTTATCAAAGTCCTAGCTTGAATCTCAGTACTGAAAACAGTTTTTTAACTTTTAGCACCAGGGAGAGATGCCAGAGTCTTCTTCATGCTGTGCAACTGCTCTACCACTGAACTGAATTCCCATGTAAGACAGGGCCCTAAGTTGGCCAGCTGGCCCCAGACTTGAAAATTTTCCTGCCTCAGTCTATCAAGTAGCTGGGATTACCACACTGGGCAAAAATTTTAAAATTCCTTTTCCAGCCAGGCATGGTGGTGCATAACTATAATCCCAGCACTTGGGAGGCTGAGGCAGGAAAATCACTGTGAGTTCAAGGCTAGGCTGGGCTACATGGTGAACTCAAGACCAGCCTAAACTACACAGTGGCACTCTATCTCAAAATAAAGAAAGAAAGAAACAGTATCTAAAGTGGCTCCAAGAGTTCTATTTAAAAAAAATTCCTGGGCTGGGGATTTAGCTCAGTGCTTAAGTACCTGCTTGGCAAGCATAAGGTTGTGAGTTCAATCTCAGGTACCAAAAAACAAAACAAAACAAAAAAATTCCTAGGGCCAGAGATATAGCTCAGGGGCATAAACAAGACCCTGGCATCTATTCCTAGTGCCTACCCGGCGAGTGCAAAGTTGTAAGTGTGATTTCTGGTACCAAAAACAAAACAAAACAAAACAAAACCCAAAAATCCCTTTTCCAAAGTAGATGTGGTGGTGTACTCCTATAATCCCATCATTTAAGAGGCTGAGGCAGGATGGTGAGTTCACAGCTAGCCAAAACACAGGGAGTTCAAAAATGGCTTGGACTACAGAATTGGTCTCAAAAACAAAACAATTATCTTTTCTAACAAAATGATTTGCCAGCTCTGCTTTAAGACCAAAAGTTGTCCTCTCCGTGCTGCAATCTTGGGAACGACTCATTCCAAGAACCGTCTAATACAGGAAATGTTATCCAACTTATTTGCATAGTGCTTGTGGCAGGGATTTAAAGCAGAGGATTCACTACTGATAAAAAATCCTGAAAAGGCTAGACAGAGGACAAATGTACACCTGGAGAATTACATGCTGGCTTATGAGGTACAGTCATGGAAGCTATCAGAGAAAAAGCTCAAAAGGTAGGTTTTTTTTGGTCTTTTTGAGACAGGGTTTCACCATGCAGTTCAGACTAGACTTAAACTCACTTTGTGGCCCAAGCTGTCCTCAAACTCACGGCAACCCTGCTATCCTCCTGCCTCAGCCTCCTGAGTGCTGGATTTACAAGTGTGTGCCACCCTGCCCAGTCAGAGTTCTTTTATTTCTGCAACAAGGTTAGCATTTTATACTATAAATACTAGAAAGTCACTCAACAGAGGTGGGGATACCACTCAGTAGTACAGTGTTTGAGACCATGGGTTCAATCCCTAGTACTGAAGAAAATCACTCAAATATTAAAGCTTCAGCATGAAATAATTAGGTAACTGTTTTTAGATGGTTATAACGCTTTTTATAGTATTAAGGAATCAAACCTAGGGCCTTGTGCATGCCATGAAAGTGTTCTACCACTGAGCTATCCATCCAGGCTAACAGAAGGTTTGTTTGTGTCCAATGGAATATCATTTTTCCTTTCAAAGAGTTATTATGAAAAAGATCAGGGTAGAAATGTAGCTCAGTGGTAGTGAACTTACCTAGCACATGCACTTAAAAAAAAAAAAAAAAAAAAAAAAAAAAAAAAGTAAGACAAGCTGGGGATTTAGCTCAGTGGCATAAGCACCTGCCTGGCAAGCATGAGGTCATGAGTTCGATCCATGGTTCCAAAAACAAAACAACAACAACAAAATTTAAGCATACTGATATAGAATTTTACAGTGATATTCACCTACTCTTCTACTATTAACATTTTATTATACTTTCCTTATCACGTATTTATCCATATATCCACCCTTCTATGTGATCTCAATTTGTTTTGGGGGGATGAAAGCTCTAGTGACGATTGAGCCTAGGACTGGGACCATCCAAGCAAATGAAATACCACTGCTGTACATAGCCAGTACTTATCTTATTATTTTTTTTGGGGGGGTCTTTTTTGTTTTTATCGATACGAGGGATCGAACTCACGACATGAGTCGTGCAAGGCAGGCGCTTATGCCGCTGAGCTAAATCCCCAGCCCGACTTATTTTTAATTTCTTTAAGATAAGGTCTTGTTAAATTGCCCAGGCTGGCTTTGAAGTTGCGACTCTTCTGCCTCAGCCTCCTTGGTAGCTTGGGTACACACTGTCAGCTGTAGTGGTACATTCTTGTATGACCAGCTGTTTAGGAAGCTGAGGAAAAAACAAAAATCACAAATTCCAAGATGGCAGGAGCAACACAGCAACAACTTGTCTCAAAAAATAGTTGAGTTGGGGCTGGGGATTTAGCTCAGCGGCATAAGCGCCTGCCTTGCAAGCAGGCAGTCATGAGTTCAATCCCTGGTACTGATAAAAAGGAAAAAGACAAAAAAAAAAGCTGAGCATGATGGTGCACATCTGTAATTCAATACTGGGGAGGCTAAGGCAGCAGGATCCCATTGAGTTCAAGGCCAGTCTGGGCTACATATCAAGTCCTTGTCTAAGTGAACAAACAAACAAACAAACAAACTGGGCAGTTGGAGAAAACCTGTCACAGCACTCAGGACCCTGAAGCAGGAGGATCACCAAGAGTTCAAGCCCAGAATGGTCTCAAACTTGTGCTGATCCTGCCTTAGCCTCTCAAATGCTGGGATTATAGGACTGTGCCAACACACCCAGCTGGAGAAAATTATTCTTTTGTTAATTTTTTTTGGTAGGTACTGGGGATCAAACTCATAAATTTGCACTTGCCAGACTGGCATTCATACCACTGAGCTAAATCCCCGGCCGTGGAGAAAATTATTATTATTATTATTATTTTGTCTTTTTTGTTTTTATCAGTACCAGGGATCGAACTCATGACTGCCTGCTTGCAAGGTAGGTGCTTATGCCGCTGAGCTAAATCCCCAGCCCCTTCTAGGTATCTTTCTGAAAGAATTGGAAGCATCGGACCACAGTGATACATGATAGCAGTACAATTTGTATCAGCTAAATCTTGAAAACAGTCCATATGCACATCAATATATGCATAGATAAAGAAAATTTGGTATTTATATACAATGGAGTACTACTCTTCCATAAAGAAGGGTAAACAAGTCATTTTTAGGCAACTGGATGTACCTCAAGACCAAAATGTCAAGTGTAATAAATCAGATACACTTTTGAAATGTCAAAAAAAAAAAAAAAATCCCCAGCCCCGAGAAAATTATTTAAAGTACTAATTTGACAGCCACATCAACTCTGGATAGGTGTAGGTAAGAGCAGAAACAGAAAGCAAAAAAGGATAAGATACAATTCAAGAGTAGATGATAAACACTTGAGAAGGTAGAAAGGAAGCTGATGAATATTTTAAAAAATAGTCATCAGTATGGTTTGGCAATCTAAGGATACTGAAGAGCCTAAAATAAGTGGGAATTTTTTGTTTGTTTTCTTTTTTGGCTGTGCTAGGAACTGAATCTAAGGCCTCACACATACTAAGCAAGTGCTCTACCACTGAGCTACACCTTCTGCCTCTAAGATGTCTTAGTTCTCTGGCTGTGGAGTTAGCTGAAGATGGGAGCATGAGCCAACACATCTCAATGGTCAGGCGGACCAAGACTTGGGAGGGAGATAACAATTCTGAACACATCAACACTGACGTACAATGTTCATGGGATAATACTCATATTCAGCCTGAATATCAAGAGTGCCAAAATAAGCAGGGCATGGCAGCACTATCTGTAATCCTAGCAGCATGATCACAAATCCAAGTCCACTCTGGGTAACTCTGTACCAGTGATGGTGAACCTTTTGAGAGCTTTCAATGGTGACAACTGGCCTCTGTGGCGCACGTGCCACAGGTCCACCATCATTTTCCTCTATCAAAATAAAAATATTTTTAAAAAAGAGCTGAGGATGTAGCTCAGTGCAAAGGTCCTGGGTTTGCTTTCCAATACTTTTCTCCCCTTAAATAAGCAGCTAACATGGGGCTGGGAATTTAGCTCAGTGGCATAAGCACCAGCCTTGCAAGCGCGTGGTCGTTAGTTCGATCCCCCAGTACCAATTAAAAAAAAAAAAAAAAAAGCAGCTAATATTAGCTGGGTATGGTAGCTCAGGCCTATAATAGTACTAGGACTCAGAACGCTAAGGCAAGAGGACTGTGAGTCTGAGGCTAGCCTGGAATACACAGCACAGTGGCAGCAGATCTACGGCATGTGTGCTATAAACAGCTGTTTATAATCACTAGAAGGTTTGCCATCACTGTCATCATGAGATCCTGTCTCAAAGAACCACAGTGAACTTGGTGTTGTGCCACATGCCTGTTATTCCTGTGCTTTAGGAGGCTGAGGCAAAAGGATTGCAAGCTTGAGGCATAGCTAATGTTTCAAACTCCTGTATACTGCTCTGGAAATGCAGATGTGGACACGATCAGCCCAAGAACACCAAATACTCCTTGAGTGTCTGAAAGAAGAGATGAGAGATTCTCAAAACAAACATAAGTCCTGATTCCCATGAGCCAAATTTATTTAAATTATTCTCATATGAGGGTCTCACATAAGTGTGACACAATTCAGCTTCTATCTTAAAAGGAACTTTCATTCCACCGAGAGATCAAATGACAGGAAATTTACTTGGATGGTAACTCATGCCTGTAATGTCAGCCCCATGGGAGGCTGAGGCAGGAGTACTGAGTTGAAGGCCAGTCTGGAATACACAGTGAGTTCAAGGGCAGCCTGAACTACATAGTAAAACACTCTTTCAAAAAACAAACAAAAGCGCTCATTTATGACATGAGGCTTACAGTGCAAATCTGCTAGTATTATTCTTAGGATTTATGAAATAATATATGTTCTCAGTTTGGTAACCACTGATTTCTCTTTCTTGGGAATCTGAAATGAGGGGATTGTTTTTATCTATGGATATCAAGCAAAACTGACTGGCATTCTGAGTCAACTTTCTAGGCTGCTGATAGTAGTCAGAAAGCACCTGTGATTCTATAGGTTGATTTTCCTACATGTTTTTCCCCCCTCCCCACCCCACCACTGTTCTAATCACTAGAAAGGAAATCTCCAAGTCCTATACAGCTTTATCAGTAAGACACTCAATGCTACGAAGTTATACAGATAATTACTGCTTCTCATACTCTGGAGATCAAATCAACATTTCCAGAACACACTTACCACCATAGTCTCAGTGAAGCCCCACAAAAAATGTGTCTAGCCACAACGGACTATTATACATACTTTCTGAAACAAGACAGAGTATGAATAATAGATGAATATGCCAGCATCTCCACTTTACAAATAAGAAAGTTAACAGTACAGGGGAAATGATTTATCCACCTACACAGTGAGAGAGGAAGAGCAAACACTGGAAACAAGAGCTCTGGATTCTTGGTGTTTGTTTATCAGGCATTTTCCTAAAATACTACTACTGCTTCTCAAATGCCAGCTCTATGTCCCTACCACACGGAAAGCTCCCTAAAAAAGGTAACTTTACCAGACACTGCCATAGTATCGCTGATCCATGCAATGGAAAAGATCCAGTCCTTGTGTCCATCCTTGGAGGGAAGAATGACAGGTACAGGGAGGGAAACAAAAAAATAAATCATTGAAATAGGACTGTAATGAACTCTCTTGAAAAACATCTAGGTCTCACTAAAAATATCTTTGAAAAAATTGCAACTGTGGTCACTGGTGATCTCAACCCATAGGGCTTGATTTCAGCTCAGAATCTTAACCTTTTTTTGTGTAGTAATGGATATTGAAACCCAGGACTTTCATACTGAGCTCCATTCTTGGGCCTTTTAAAATTTCTCTTTGAGACAGGATCTCAGTAAGTTGCTAAACTGTGCAGGTTGGGCTTGAACTCATGATCTTCCCTCAGCCTCTCAGCGTGCTGGGGTTACAGGTGTAATTTCAACCTGTGCTTTGTTTTGTTCTGAAAGAGTTTTCTTAAATTGCCTAGGCTGGACTTGAGTTTTAGGTCCTCCTTGCCTTTATTCCCTGAGAAACTACAATTACAGGCATATGTCACAGTACCTGGCCTTTCTTTTTTTTTTTTTTTTTTGTCTTTTTCCTTTTTATCGGTACCAGGGATCGAACTCACGACTGCCTGCTTGCAAGGCAGGCGCTTATGCCGCTGAGCTAAATCCCCAGCCCCCTACCTGGCCTTTCTTGAGGGTCAAGGCTGGAAAGACACAGATACTACTGCAGGTAACAAACATGTCTCATGCATACAGAGGTCTTGCTTTCTACTTGGGATATCGAAGGCTCCTGTTTTTGTCTGGAACACTTATAAGGCTTGTATCTTATTTCCTTAAGTGCCCCTGCTCAAGTACCATTCCTTTCATCAGGCCTTCTCTGACTAACCTCTGATCTAACACCATCTCCCTGGTTCTGTTCCTGTACCCTTCAGTTACTCTTCTCTGCAGCACACATCACGTTCCGACATATTACTGGAAAACAGCTATTGGCTCTTATGGTTTATACGTCACACTTCATCAAAATTAAGGTTTCATGAGAGTAACGGCCTGATCTGACTCATTTGCTCTGTGCTCACTAGGATCCAAAACAACGCCTGACTAAAGAAGACTCCATGGGTGCTGAATGGTTGATTTAATAAACCTGCTCTTTGACCACACGGGGAGATCTGTAGACACTGGATCCCAATAGCAGCCCACTGTCCCTGGCTCCTGAGGGGTGTGCCTTTATGAAGCACACGCTCTTCTGTCGACACACTTGTTATACCCTGTGGAGCCCAGTTCCTCTTCTTTTTTTTTTTATTATTTTTTTAAAGCCAGTCAAATTTAGCAGTGGGGGGGGGTGGTATACCAACTTTAGTGACACTAATGTTAATAAGTTCTGATAACCCACTGCCATCGGACCAGCCCCAGTTCCTCTTCTGTTATCATCACCTTATACCTCACCTAATGGTCCTAGAATTAACAGATATGCAAAGGAAACCACTCCACCCAAGTAGATATGTTACTTACTAGTCCCTGTTTAAAAGAAGGTTACCTCTAACTACAACTATTGAGAAAACTTAAACTTACATCTCCCACACACACAGGATCTAGTGTAGGCAGTCGATAGATGGCGAGACTGTTGGGGTTGTCTCCTCCTGTGGCCAGCAGTGTTCTAGAGGGATTCAGCTCAATTGCATGGATGCCACAACCCTGCTGGGTCACACCTCCAGGCTCTCGGTCCTTCAAAATGGGGATCTTGGTGATCTGGCTTGTCTCGACATCTACTACAAAGAGCTGTAAGAGAAAAGGATGTAGAAGTTGAACATAATTTCTATTTAATGCAGAAGATGATGGGTATAAATACCCATTTGTTTGATGATCAATCAAATACGCTTTTCCCCTTATTTTTATTTCCTGCAGTGCTAGAGATAAACTCAGGGTCTCATGCATGCCACGCAAGTGCTCTCCTACAGAGCTATACTTTTAGTCCTCCATCAAACATTTAATTAAAGGGACGGGGATTTATTTATTTATTATTATTATTATTTTTTTTGTGGTACTGGGGATTGAACTCACGACCTCATGCTTGCCAGGTAGGCACTTATGCCGTTGAGCTAAATCCCCAGCCCAAGGGGCTCAGTGACATAAACGCCTGCCTGGCAAGTGTCAGGTCGTGAGTTCAATCCCCAAGACTACAAAAAACCAGAAACAGCAACAAACATGTTGCCTGGAAATTAGTAAAGGCATGGTCAGGACTATCAGTCAAATGAAACATGAAAATAAGTAAACACAGTATTAGACATATTACTACCATCCTACATGCACATAGACTAAAAATGACTAAATTCTGCCTGAGAGGCACATAAAACTACAAACAGGTCTTGCAATAGCTATGGATACACAGAGCCAGACCAACACAAAATTTTCCATCAGCATGGGCATATTTTATATTTATTCCTCAACATGCACAAAAACTTGCACACAAAACACAATTCCCAGAAGGCCTCTCAGCCAGGATTAAATATGTCTTTTACTATTATTAGGTTTCTGAAAAGATTTCAGAAGTATATATGTCACTGTTCTGGTCTGTTCTATGTTTTCCTGCCTTTGCTCAGGCTTTCTTCTCTCTATAAAGTTCTCTTCTATCCTTTACCAACCTAATGCCTTTTCCCTTCCAGGATTCAACCCACAGATTATTTTTCGAAAAAGATCAGTTTTAGAGACTACTCTTCCCATTAGAGTTCACTGTTCAACTCTTCATGGTATCATGATATTCAGTGGCTCAGATCTTATTCATTCAGCAGTCTGGTTCCAGATGCTAAGCCTGTAACTATGGGAGGCGGACTGTAGCTCAGTGGTAGAGCACGTGCCTAGTATGTATGAGACCCTGGGTTTGATGCCCATCACCACACAAACAAAGAATTTAACTGTTAACCAGGGAAAAATAATTGCTGCCTTCACAGTCCCTTCACAGTCTGTAAAAGTCAGGTGTGGTGGTGCACACCTGTAGTCAGTCCAGTACTCTGGGAGGCTGAGCTAGAATGATGACAAGTTCAAGCCTAGAGTGGGCAACTTAAAGTGACTCATCCAAACCTGTTTCAAAATAAAAATTAAAAAGGGCTAGAGATGCAGCTCAGTGTGAAGGCCCTGGCTTCAATCCTCAGTGCTATAAAGTAAGTTTTTTTTTTAAATGTATACCTTAAGATGTATAAAACCCTCCCCGCTCCCTCTACAGAGATGGGATCTCAGTGTTGGCTAGGCTGACCTCAAACCTGCCGGGCTCAAGCAGCTCTACCCTTTTAAACACTTACTCTAATCAAAACATGTTCTGAAGCTACACTAATGGCCAACTCACGAGTCTGTGTGTTGTATGAGAAGACGCATCCATAATATATTAGCATCTAGACCAGTGAGTCCTAGACTGATGATTAAAATAACCTGGGGATGTGGGTGTAGCTCTGTGATAAAGTGCTTGCCTAGCATGCACAACGCTCTGGGTTTAAGAACATGATGAAAGAAAATACAAAAACCAAACCAAAAAAAAGGAAAGTAGGGAATTTTCTTTAAAACAAAGAGACAAAAACACCTATGAAGCCAAACAAATTCCCAGGCCTGTCATAAAACCTTCCCATTAAAAATTTCTGAGTTTAAGCCAGGCATGTTAGCACATGACTGCAATTCCAGTACCTGGGAGGCTGAGGCAGGATGATCACTGTAAGTTTAAGGTCAGCCTGGGCTACACAGTAAACAAATTGTGTGTGTGTGTGTGTGTGTGTGTGTGTATACACACTTTTCAAGAATTTCCAGACAGATCTGATGATGTTCTAAGTTTAACAACCACCAATTGAGACTCTTCCTGCTGTTTTCTTCTTTCGTATTTTTGAGACAGGTTTTTGCTATACAATTCAGGCTGGCCTTAAACTTACTTTGTAGCCCACATAAGCCTTGAACTCACAATGATTCTCTTCCTCAGCTTCCCAAGTGCTGGGATTACAGGCATGTACCACCAGGCCTGGTGAGACCCTTTTTGCTTAACAAAACAAAACACATGATTTTTTTTTTTTGTACAAGGGATCAAACTCACAACCTCACGCTCACTAGGCAAGCGCTTTAGCTGCTAGGCTAAATCCCCAGCCCCTCAAAACACAGGAATCTGATTGCAATGACACGTGCCAGTAGTTCCAGCTGAGGTGAGAAGGTACCTTGAGTCCGGTGTTGGGGCTCGTCTAGGGAAACCTTACTTAAAAAAAAAAAAAAGAGAGAGAGAGAGAAATTAAGAAATACAAAATCTCAAGCCTGCCCCAAATCTACTCAATTTGAATCTAGCTTCAGCACACTTAAGTTTCCTAGGCACACTGATACTTGAGCACTGATCTAGAAAGACTCTTGACTCAGAGTAAACAGAGACCTACAACATGGAAAGATAGGGAGTTTCTTCTATGGAATCTGAAGGCTGTTTAAAGTCCTGAGAGTTCTGCCCGAAGTGGTGGTACTCAACTGTGATCCCAGCATCCAGGCTGAGGCAGGAGGCTTGCTGCAAATTTGAGGCCAGCCTGAGCCTATGTAGCAAGATCTGGTCTCAAAAAAAAAAAAAAAAAAAAAAAGGATATAAAATTTTACAGGCTAGCTGAGTGTGATAGTGCACAAGTAATCCCAGCAGTTGGAGGCTGAGGCAGGAAGATCATTACAAATTCAAGACCAGCCTGGGCTACAAAGTGAGCTCAAGGCCAGCCTGAACTACACAGTGAGACTTTGTCTCAAAAAGCCAAATAAATAATTTGTGAGCTAGTGGTGTAGTACAGTGGAAGAATCCTTGCCTAGGATAGAAAAATTCAGCACACAAAAATAAAAATGACTTATACAGTTGCTATACAGATTTAACAAAATAAAGGTCTGGCATGCAAGAATTGCTTTACCTTATGATTGCTAACAGTAGTATATTATTATGCTAAGGTTTAAGTTTTGTGATAAACTGGATGAAAAACTTTTAGCGCTACTGGGAATTATACCCAGTCCTCTGCAATAAACTACATCCCAAGCCCTATAATTTTTTGAGACAGGGTCTTGCTAGTTGCTCAGGCTGGACTTGAACTTGCAATCCTGCTGAGGCAGCCTTCCATAGTACTGGAATTATAGATGTGCACCACCATTCCAGAATGAAAAACATTTCACGCAAGGACATGGAAAACCTAAGAAAGGAGGGCCTGCAGAGGGTTCAGGAAACCAGAGTTCATCCGTACTCTCACTCCTGCAGAGGGAAGACCAAGCCCCATTTAAAGGACAGAGCTTTCCCATTTCTTCAAGGGAAGGCACTGGGATGGGGACTGACTGCCACACAGTCATTCTTCTGTGCTCTGGACAGCAAACCAATGACTTTATATAGCTCCTATCGCACAACCCAATGTGGGGTCGCTTCTTATTAACCTACTGGGAACAATGGCACACTGGAAAGCTAAGCCTGAGGCCTCCCGTAACTTGTATCAGGATATAAGCAACAGCTGTTGCTCAGAGAGATGTTAAGACTTGTAAGTCCACCTCTGCATTCATATTCAAGTACACATGTAGACACACATAAATGGCATACTTAAAAGATCCAAGGTGGCTTAAAAGGAGAACCTCACGAAGTTTGTAAAACTCAGGGTTGCTGGGTACTCCTGCCATCCTGCACTCAGGAGACTGAGGCAGACGGAATGCCAAGTTCAAGGCCAGCCTGGACCACACAGCAAAACCCTGTCTCAAAAACAACTCTGGGTAGTTTAGAATAGAGACTAATGGAGAAGGAAAGCAAACCCACGAAGGTCACCTAGACACCAAGATAAACTATATTACAGTCAGACAGTAAAAATGCAGGTAGGGAGTCTAAGTCTGCTGAAAGCAGGCACAGGAAATACAATGAAATCAAACCAGAGGAATCCATTCTCTATCCCAAACAAGAAAGTGAGAAGGAACAGAGGTCAGAGCCAAACCAAGAAACACCACAGAAACGTTCAAATAATACATAGCAAAAATGAAAAAGCATGACAGGTGCAGTGTACGTGCCTGTAATTCCACCGTGGACTAAGGAAGGATTGTAAATTTAAGTCCAACCTGGGCAATTATTGGCTTAATGAGCACCTGTATCAAAATACCAACTAAGAAAAGGGATGGGGATATAGCTCAGGGCAAAGGTCCTGGGTTCAATCCCCAGGAAGGAATATAGATAAATAGATGGTGCAGAGATAAAGATAGAGATACTGAATATCTGTAAAAGAAATAATGCTAACCTCATACAACTCTTTTATTTCTTTGATGATTCAAGTAATTTGGGCCTTCGTAAAGTGGGGCAACAGGGACCCAAAGAAAGCAGGACTCAACCAAAGGAACCAGACTATATTATTTTCCCCAGGTAGATGGCTGTGAAGTTACCTTCTGGCCAAGCTCTGCTCTTAGCAATCCATGTTTATCTATCATCAAGGCTACAGGACCCCAGGGAGATCTTAAATTTACAAGGCATCAGGTTATTAAGCAAGTAATTCCAGTTCGCCATAAGAAAGCTGATTAATGGGATGATTAATTAGCAAAGCCTAGACATAACCCAAAAGGGAAAAAAATACCCAGGAGAAACTTGCTTAGCTAGCTCTCGCCATGCAACTTCCAATGACATTTAGTTTCTCCTTCCCTATTCTCTGCCCTGTATCAGATAAACCGGCCCAAGCCTCATAAAGTAAATCATGACATAAACCAGGTTTGATGGAATACACCTGTAATCTCAGCACCTGGGAGGCTGAGACCAGAGTACTTCCATGAGTTGGAGG